GTTCTTTTCCTTTTCTCTTTCCAAAAAAGAGAATTTTTGTCTCTTCATGGACCTTATTCTTGCATATGAATCTTAAGATCTTTTTATCTAATTCAGAAATCAAAGTGAAACTCTGTTGGAATCCTAATAGGAATTGCAATGAAGTTTTATATTACTTGACCGTTATGATAGCAAATGTCCCTCAAGTGTAATATACTTTTTTACATTTATTCAAATCTTGTTTTATGGCTTTTAATAATGTTTGTTTTCACTGCTTTCATCTACATTTCATTCTAGATGCTCATTACTTTCTTTAAAAAAAAAAGATTTTATTTATTTATTTGAGAGAGAGAGAGAACATGAGCAGGAGGGAGGAGCAGAAGGGGAGGGACAAGCAGACTTTACCTGAGCACGATGCCCAATGCGGGGCTCTATCCCAGGACCCTGAGATCATGACCTGAGCCGAAATCAAGAGTCAGTTGCTTAACCAACGGAGCCATCTGGGTACCCCGAGATGCTCATTTCTAGAGCGAGAAAGATATTTGTTTTCTGTGTATTTCTTACAAGGCAAGTCCCTCACATGAAAGTCTCCTATTTATTTTAGTAGTTTTTATTCAAGACTTAGGTTTTTCTAGATGGTCTATCATGTATCATATTATCAGCAAAAGGATATTTATAGCTCTAACTGTTCTTTTCCAATATTTTTGCTAGCTTCCTTATATTATTGTATTTGATAATCCTCCAAGACAATGTTAAAAAATAATGTGCTGGCAATTTTCTGATTTTAATCAAAATGGTTTTAGTGTTGCATCATTTTAGAATACTATTTGCTATGGTCTTTTGTAAATAGTCTTTTTTTATATTCAAGTAGTTTCCTTCTATTCTTATTTTACCTTGAGTTTTCAGTATATTAATTAGAACAATAGTTGACAAAGAGTAAGTGCTCTATAACTACTTGTTAAACAAATAAAGGTATATTAGTGATGACTGCTAAAGTTTATTAATGCCTTTTTCATGGACTATTGACATGATCATATGGTTTTGCTCTTGACCTTGCTTGGTCATATATATTATGTCTTTAATGCATTGTTGATTCTATTTGCTAATATTTTATTTAGAATATTTGAATAGTCATAAATTTATTTATTTGTCCTTTTTTGTACTTAAAAAATCATGTTTTAGCATTAAAGTTTCTTGTGTCATTAAATGATTCAAGGAACATACATATTTTTTCTCAGTCTGGAACACTTCTCCTTTGTTGAGAACTGCCCCCTACTCATGGGGGTGAGTGCCCAGAAACCAGGTCTACTAGGACGCTGCTTGCCCACCTGGTCACAGCTCACTAATTAAATGATATTGCCAAGATCTAGAATTTTGAATTGAGCATCAGACACTTGGAGTTACTAAAAACTGAACCATATTAAGGGTGGTGGTGTAGAGTGTAGAGGGCATCCCTTGGGCACCAACCAGATACACTGGTCTCTAACCTTCCACAGACTGGGCTAATCACTTCTTCCTTGGATTTCCAAAGACACTCCAGAATCCTTCCAGTTATTATCACCGCACCACCACCACAACCATCATCCTTTTAACTTAGAAAGCAATTCTGGTGAACTTGTTACTTGCAAATAAAAGAGGCTTACTCACAAAACTATGTATAGAGTCACCTTTCTTTGAATATTTCAATAGCTTTGCTTTTGTTTTAAAGCAAAGCTTAACTTTCCCGAAATCACATGATATGTAACATGTGTAGTAGAAACCCCATTTGATTTGTTCCTGTTATAGACAGTGTTTGGTGTCCCAGCCAAATTCAAATTCATGTTGAAACCCCAAAGTGACTGTATTTGGAGATAGGGCCTTTATGGAAGTATTTAAGGTTAAATGAGGTCATAAGGATAGGATTAGTGTCTTTATTAGAAGAAATACCAAAGAGCTCCTTCTCTCTTCCCATACACACACAAAAAGAGGTCATGTGAACACACAGTGAGAAGGCACCCACCCACAAAGCAAGAGAAGAGGCCTCAGATTGCAACCTACGTTGCCAGCACCTTGACTTTGGACTTCCCAACCTCCAAAACTGTGAGAGAACGAATTTCTGCTGTTTAGGAATGCCTGGGTGGCTCAGTCGGGCTCTTTGCTCAGCGGGGAGCCTGTTTCTCCCTCTGCCTGCTGCCCCCCTGTTTGTGCTCCCTCTCTCTGACAAATAAATGAATATAATCTTTTAAAATTTTTTTCTGCTGTTTAAGTCATCCGTCTATAGTATTTTGTTGTAGCAGCCCAAGCAGACTAATACAATTCCCCCAAATGGCTAACTAATGACCTAATGCCTTTTACTGAACAATCCATCATTACCCCACCAATTTGAAATGTCACTTTTTTTTAAGATTTTATTTTTCATTTATTAGAGAGAGAGAGTGTGTGAGAGAGAGCACAAGCAGGGGGAGAGGCAGAGGGAGAGGGAAAAGCAGATTCCCCACTAAGCAAGGAGCCTGGCACAGGGCTCATCCCAGGACTCTGGGATCATGACCTGAGCTGAAGGCAGACCCTTTACCAACTGAGCCACCCAGGAGTCCCTGAAATGTCACTTTTATAATATATTAAATTTAAATAAATTATCAAGTCTGTTTTTGGGCTTCCAAAATCATTTCACTAATTTATGAGTGTATTTTGGCACTAGCTTTATCTTGATTATTGTCCCTCTATAATATAATATCTTATATCATCTTGGTAGGGCAAGTCTGACTTTATTATTGTTGCACAATTTTATTGGCCATTCTAGAATACCTACCATTCCAAGTTAACTTTAGAGTCATTTAATTGAGTAAAAAGAAAAGTTGAGATTTAGTGGAGGAGCATTAAAGTGGAGGAAAAGTGACATGTAGAATGCTCTATTTCAATCCATGAATGTGGTGCTTGTCACTATTCTATTTAAATCAGTAACTTTTGTAGTTTTATTTATAATGTCCCACATAATTCTTGTTTATTCTTAGCTATATTTTCTAACATTTTATTATGAAAATATTCAAACATACAGAAAAGCTGAAGTAATTTTACAGTGTGCATCCATGTATCACTACCTACCCCAACATTTTACTCTATTTCATGCAGTGTTTTTGTTAGGCAGTGAATGGGAGCATAGACTGCCTGGATTCACCACCTGCAAACTGTATATTGCAGGGCAAGTTACTTAATTTTTCCAAACCTGTTTTCTTATCTGCAAACTGGGAATTGCCTCAGAGGGTATTAAAGGATTAAACAGGTTAAAATATGTAATGCACTGAGAACAAAGCCTCATGCTGTGTAAATACTGTATGCCAAGTGCATTAATCTCCTTGGGCTGTTATAACTAAATATCATAGACCGGGTGGCTTAAACAACAGAAATTTATTTTCTCACATTTGTGAGGCTAGAAGTTCCAGATCAAGGTCTGGCAGGGTCAGTTTAGCATGAGAACTCTTCCTGGCATGTAGATGGCACCTTCTTGCTAAATCCTCACATGATTTTGCCTCATTGCCTGCACCTTCAGAGAGTGAGTGAGAACCTCTGGTGTCTCTTCTTACAAGGACACTAATCCTATGGGACCAGGGCTCCACCCTTATGGCTTTATTTAATCATAATTACTCCCTCACTTCAAATACAGCTACAATAGGGGGTTAGGGCTTCAACATATGAAATTGCAGAGGTGGGTGGGGAGACACAGATTCAGTCCACAACAGCTAGCAAGTACATAGTTTCATTCTATTTTCTAAAGTTTTTGTAAGCTATTGATATAGAAGTGTATTTAGAATGATGGACTTGGGGACGCCTGGGTGGCTCAGTTGGTTGGGCGTCTGCCTTCAGCTCAGGTCATGATCTCAGGATCCTGGGTTGGAGCCCTGCATCAGGCTCCTTGCTCAGCGGGAAGCCTGCTTCTCCCTCTCCCACTCTCCCTGCTTATGTTCCCTCTCTTGCTGTGTCTCTGTCAAATAAATAAATAAAATCTTAAAAAAAAAAAAAAGAATGATGTACCCCTATTCTGTTGAGACAAAACCCACCAATAAAAGTGCATTACAGGGCGCCTGGGTGGCTCAGTTGGTTAAGCGACTGCCTTCGGCTCAGGTCATGATCCTGGAGTCCCGGGATCGAGTCCCATATCGGGCTCCCTGCTCGGCAGGGAGTCTGCTTCTCCCTCTGACCCTCCTCCCTCTCATTCTCTCTGTCTCAAATAAATAAATAAAATCTTAAAAAAAAAAAAGTGCATTACAGTATAATCATTTTTGTAGAGAATACATAAAAATGCATGAAGAAAACATGGGGCGTGTATGGGGGGGTGGTTGTGTAGGTAAGTCTGCACCAAATGTTAGCGATGCTTATCTCTGCTTGATGAGATTCTAGGTAATAATTATCTTGCTTTTGTGTATTTTCTGGCATTTCAGAAATACAAGGAAAGCAATTAACATAAGAATTTATTGAATGCTAGCACAAAAACGACGTGATCATGGTAGTCTTTTAATAAAACACAGGATTCCATTCCATTTTCAGGCTTTTCCACGTACATATGAAGTAAAAGTGCTATGGATTCGTTTAGAGCAATGTTGTTTGGACAAAAAGGTGATAGAGATGTTTCCCTTTTGTCAAGGGTTTCCAATCTCCCCATGGAAACGTTCACTTGCCTCTTGCCGGCAGAAGGGAGACGGCTCTATTCAGTAGATTGGGTGGGGACAAGAGCACCCGCTCCGTCTCCTTCCGCAGGAGTGGGGCTGCATCTCCCCTGGTTGGGATCCGGAGCAGCAGCGAGCCCGGAGTGACGGAGTGACAGGGCCTCCCGGCGAGCATGCCGGGAAGCGCCGCGAGCCGGAGGCTGCCCCGGAGGACGCTGGGAACCACGCGCGGAGGCCGCTGCCGCGCAGGCGCACCGCCCACGGCTGCGCTACGTGGGAGCATCTCGGCGCTGCGTAGAGGGCTGCCGGCCGACGGGCGAGGGAGCGAGGGCGAGCCGGGCGAGCCGGCCAGCGGGGTGAGCGGGGCTGCGCCGGGTCTGGGGCGGGGCGACGGGAAGCGCCGGCTCCGCCCCGCCTGCGGTCCCCCGTGGCGCGTGGTGCGCCCGGCGGCCCGGGGTCGCGCTCAGACAAAGCCCGCGAGGTCCAGGCCTGGAGAAAGGTTTATTCTCTCCGTTGCGGGAGGAGGAGACGGGATTGCAGGGGTTCCGTGATTTGCCACGGCCAAGCGAAGCGAAGGAGCTGGGATTCAAGCCCAGCGCCTTTGGGATTTCCGATCTCAAGACTAGTTTAAACAGAGTCCTACCTAACAAAGAACTGGGCTTTATTCATCTCTGTGTTTCATGGCACCAGTACCGTGGTTTGGACCGCGTGGGCTGTGTATATGCACCGTCTTCATGTACCTTTTGTAAAAAATAATCACTACTGGTGTAAGTTCTAGAATTCTGACTGTGCGACTGAACTTTCTGGATCCTTTTGCTGACTAATGTTTTCTGTCCAGTGTCACCAGGGGGCTGTAGAGGTGGCTGCTTAGAAACCTGGAGCCTCCCGCCGCTTGCTAAGGAGACAGCGCTCAAGACGAGATGTTCCTTGCGAGCCTAGACATTTAAAAGGTCCAGACTCCGGGTTTTGGTACTGTACGTTCCCAGGTGCGCCAGAGTGGAGGATTCCAGCGCAACTGGGAAGCCCGAGTTCCCAGCAGTTTGCTTATCAAAAGTGGCCAAGCCAAATAGGACCTTCTGCTTCGTGGGCTGAGACAGAGAGCCCCATAAAGGAGTGCTGAAGTCATCATGCTACGGCAGCTACTCATCACCCTGCCCATGGAGGCCAGCACCTTGGTGAAGTTGCGCCATCCAAAGAAGGCCAAGGAGGGGGCGCCCCTGTGGGAGGATGTGACTAAGATGTTTGAAGGAGAAGGTGAGAATAGGCTGGTTGGCGGGAAGGAAGAAAAGCAGCGTCCTCTAGTGTGAGAAGGAAGGTAGACAGCTGAGCGGAAGCATCTCTTGGGGAGGCAATTGGGTAAAACGTCTCTGGAGTTCTTGATTATGGCTCCTGGCCTGGAGTTTTCCTGAATAATACTGTAGGTTCAACCTGAACCCGATATCTAAGTGTCATGACTGTATATGTTATTTCTTTTCATTTTCCCCATGTGGGGCAAGGAAGACTTGCCTGATTTTCTTTATTTTACAGTGAGGAAATCTGAATCAAATGAGAGACCTGTCCAGGCACTTGGTGGCTAGGTCAGAAGTAGAAGGCAGCAGGGAAAGCACCAGGTGAGCCTGGAGTATCTTGTGCTAGAAAGCAAGGAAGAGTCCAGAGACTAATGGACATGTACCAGCAGGATGGCAGGTTTGGACAAACTTAGGACTGTTAAGTATCCAGATTGATTGTAACACCTTGAATAAATAAAATTCCATAAGTTCGTGATGACACTTAAAATAAAGAAAGGGGAGGGGCGCCTGGGTGGCTCAGTCGTTAAGCACCTGCCTTCGGCTCAGGTCATGATCCCAGGGTCCTGGGATTGAGCCCTGCATCGGGCTCCCTGCTCGGTGGGAAGCCTGCTTCTCCCTCTCCCACTCCCCCTGCTTGTGTTCCCTCTCTCGCTGTGTCTCTCTCTGTCAAACAAATAAATAAAATCTTAAAAAAAAAAATATAGAAAAAGGGGAAAGACTCATTTACCAACAGTGGTGGTGATTCATACACTAATTTCTTACTTTGGAAATAAATTATTATGGGAACGAAGAATGCATTTACCTTGCATTTTAGGTCATTTGCAATTGCTGAGGGAAAGCTTTTTACAGAAAATATCTGCCAATAAAAAGAATAGAAGGAATGAGAAACTATTTTACTATAAATGAAATAATTGAAAAGCTAATGGGGCAGGGTATTCACAGGGTGCCAAAGTATTGCTCCCATAAATTACTTGCTAAATGCTAAGGAAAGAACATTCTTTTCCAGTGGCGATATCTGGTGGTCACTGTCTTTTTTTTTTTTTTTTTTTTTGAGATTTTATTTATTTACTTAGGAGGGGGAGGAAGAAGCAGACTCCTCACTGAGCAGGAGTGAGGAGTGGGGCTCGATCCCAGGACCCTGGGATCATGACCTGAGCCAAAGGCAAATGCTTAACCATCTGAGCCACCCAGGTGCCCGTGGTGGTCACTCTCTTAACCAAGTGTGTCAATGATGGGATAACCTCACATTTTGTGTCTTCTGGGTAGTGTAATAAAAAGCACATTAGTATCACTCATGAAGAATTCCTGCCAAAATATTTAACCTGGTCCTAAATTGAGCTTAAAGGCTGAACTTCTGGTTTAAAGAAAATACAGGGGATTGACAAGTAAGGTAAACCCTAGCACAGACTTTTGGTTTCTTAAGAAGCCAACGTCAAGAAAAAAGAGGGAAGTACTATTCTAGAGAGACTACAGATAACAACCACTTTGAATGTGTGAACCGTGGTTGGCTCCTGGGTTGGAATAAATCCAGAATAAAAGACAGTTTGAGAAGAGTTGAGGAAATCTGAATATGAATTGTTAACTTGCTTAGGTGTGATAAATGGTATTAGGATTAGGAAGAAGATCCTTATTTGAAGTAATTAGAGATGAAGTATCATGATGTCTGCAACTTTGAAAAGGTTCAAAAAATATATCGATAGATGAAGCAAATACGGCAGACGTTAACAATCATTGAATATAGGTGGTGGATATATGGGTGTTCAATATGCATGCTAAAAAGTTGGGAAAAAATATAAGGACAACAGTTTATTTGCCTTAATTCCTAGTTCATATTTTTAATACCTAAATTCAGCCAGTATTGGAATTCTAGCAATCTGGCAGAGTGTTATGCTTAACACTTTAGCAGATAGAAAAAAAAATGAACCAGATAGTTGCTACCCATATATTCATACTAATATTCAACTGAGGGAGGTAATTATATAAATAAATATAACAGGAGGCAGTCTGAGATCGATATCTAAGCAGAGATAAAAACAAGCTTTGGAAGAGTACAGGGAAGAAGAAGCTTTCTTCTCATTAAGAGTGTTTGGGAAAACTTCACCTGAACCGGTCCAGAAGGATATCTCAGTTTTTCACCAAGTAGGAGGTATGTTCAAAGAAGGGTGACTGGGGCTGTGTGGGTGGGTGAGTCCAGTGGATGAAGAAGGGTAGAGAAGCAACGATGGACTGGTTGTGGAGGATCTTGAAATCCATGGGCAGGTATTTGGATTTTTCTTTCTTATCAGTGGGGAAGCTTTGAGGATTTTTTAACAGAGGAGTGGCCCAGTAGATCTGTGCTTCTGGACCAGTGTTGACCATTGGGGAGTATTAATGCCCTAAGCAGTGCACTGTAGCTCCTTTTCATTAAGGAGGCCCCAGTCTGCGCTGAGTTGCTCTAAGTGTCCCTCTCTGTGAATGTTTTGAGAGAGGAGCCGTGTTCAGCAGGTCTGCAAGCTGTTTTTCTGTTTGGGAGATGTAAACCTCATGGCTCTTCTCCTTTCTCAGTTTTGCTCTCTCAGGATGTTGATGAGACCCAGGGAGAAAGTCTTGAGGATGAAGTCACCTCTAGGCCCTCGACAGTGGAATCTCAGGTGGGTTGGGGTTTCCTGTCACTTTCTTGAACTTGTTTCTCAGATTTTAAGAGCCCTGGACTTTGATTTTCTTTGGCTTAACTTGCTGGGTTGGATTTTCTTAGCCTGTTCTAAACCAGGCCACATTGATTCATTTCACTGGTAATTTTCCCACCAATAGTAGATGGTTCCTCATAATAGGAGGTTCACCATAATAGAAGGTTCCTGAGGAACCTTCTTGTTTCAGACAAACCTCTGGCCATTTATCCAACACATTTAAAAATCGTGGGGGATGGGCTAAATGGGTGATGGGTATTAAGGGGTACACTTGTTATGATGAGCACTGGGTGTTATATATAAGTGATGAATCACTAAATTCTACTCCTGAAACCAATATTACACTATATTCTATATTCTAACTAGAATTTAAATAAAAATTTGAAACAGTAAAAATAAAAAATAAAAATTGTCCTGGGTGGGGTGTGTGTGTGTGTAAAAGTATGTAATGTAGTTCTTGCCCTGAAACCTCACAGTGTCATCTAGGGGAAAGACAAACATTGTAAAACATTTTTTTTTTTAACTTGAATTCAATATAGCACATCATTCGTTTTAGATGTAAAACATTTTAAGCAACATTTAAAAATTAACAGAATGCGGTTCTGACATTCTTGGAGATGTAATGCACTTCATTAATGACCTTTAAGAGAGGATTGCTGGTCCTATTTGGAGCAGAATTGTAGATGAAAAAGTAAATGAGTAGAGAAGTTACTGGCAGGTCATGGAGGGCACACACTAAATAGGCTGACCAGAAAAGAAAGGAAAACTTCCAAGAGCAGTTTAATAGTGTCTGTGTATCATAAATGAGCTAATCAGAAAACCATTGGCAGCAGGCAAAGCTCCGTGCTACCAAACCCCCAAGTCATAGGGAAACTCAGAAAATAGAGTAATCAGAAAATCAATATAGAAGGAGATATTCTTAGAGAACAGAAGACTTTTATAGTGGGGTGATCTTAGTTCCCAAAATAACATGGTATAGGGTTTAATCCCATATCTTTAACGTTCCTCAAGTTCAGTTTTCTAATGGGTTAAATGTGGATGCTATTGCCGGCCCAATAGGCCTGAAATGCCTTCCAGACTTATTTATAATACATAAAAAGCATTAGAGTCATCTTTATACTTAAGGAATGTGTTACTATCTTAACCTTCTGGCTTCTGGGTTCTCTTTGCATTTGGTAATATTTTTAAAAATAATCATAAAATGGTTATTTAATTTGTGTGGATCATACATGACAGGCTCTTGTACTTCACAACATGGTATCTGCTTTGGTCAAATCTTCCTTACTAGGCAGAATTCATGCTCCCTCCAGGAATGTGCTGTTCTCATGTACTTTTCTTACTAATACCCAGCTAATAGTATTTTACCTATGCTGAAATGTTCTCATTTTAACCAATTCTCTCAGCCCGACAAAGGTCCCTGTCTTCTCTTGCAGCCTGAGCCTCTTTTGAACTCTCCCTTCCCTCAAATATTCCTGATCTTTATTGTCCTTAATCCAAATTATTGTATACTGCTCTGAGACCTTCTTTAATATTTCATGAGTATTTCTCCTTCAGCCAAATGATAAGTTGCAAAAGACAACTTATATGCTTTCTGCGTTGTTTGTAACCTCCTGCAGAGTCAACCAACCAATTTTCAAGAGAGTGTCCAAGTAGACTTGGCTAGAATCTCTTAGCATGTAGGCAGTATTAGAACTGAAAAGGAACATATTTGATATTCTAGGGACTATTGACCTTCAAGGACATATCTGTGGACTTCACCCAGGAGGAGTGGGGGCAACTGGCCCCTGCTCACCGGAATCTATACCGGGAAGTGATGCTGGAGAACTATGGGAACCTGGTCTCCGTGGGTAAGGATGAGTTCCCCTTACAACCAGAACCTGCCTGTTGGAAGAAAATCTTTATTTCTAACCGAAGTGCTATGCTTGGGCTTTGGGTTATGATAGAGCTTTCTAGTTCCCTCTAAACAGCAAGTCAGGATAGCTGTGGTCTTTTCTGCCCTGGTCTTTCTACTCTACCCCTCAGCAGGCCTGAATACCAAAGAACTATCTTTAAATTCTTGGGATGGCTCTTTGACCTCAGCACATGCAGTGTTTTCTTCTTCATGAGCAGGATATCAGCTCTCCAAACCTGTTGTGATTTCCCAGCTGGAGAAAGGAGAAGAGCCATGGCTGATCGAGAGAGAGATTTCAGGAAGTCCAAGTTCAGGTAAGAGCAAGGCAGTTGGGGCCTTTGTCATGTTTGCTGGAGAGCTCCACTTGAAGCCTTCTCCAGGCTGTGGGGGAGACCATGCTATCTGGATGGGACCCACGAGAAACCTGATTACCACCTGCATTTGCCTCTTCTCATTAGTTTCTCTGGAGTATTGGGGAAAGAGATGCCTTTCTCATCAGGGTTAGTTTTCTTGACTAATTCTCCTGACCTGACTTTCGTGATTGTCTTGCTTTCTCCAGTATTCCAAACCTTGCCCTGATCATAGCTTCTTTCTCCTGTCCATTCAGGTATTCATGGGTCTCCTCTCATTAAGGACAGCACCTTTCACCAGATTCTCATGTCATTTTATCATGGATCTGACTCTCACGATTCCCTTAAAAGTTTTTTCCTAAATCTTACTCTGTAATCATAGTTTCAATTCTGATTTTAACTTTTTATTTCAGATAACTTAGGACTCTGTGAGAAATCCCCACAGAATTCCTTCTTACCAAATCAAACAGCTTTTAACAGCCTTCTTCATCTAAGAACAGTAATAATGACAGCTGTTCATCCAGGTGGCCTCTGTGAGTCCTGTGCCTACGTTAGCCGCATCTTACAGAGGAGGAAAAGAAGACTCACAGGTTAAGAAATTTGTCCAGCATCACTTAGCTACTGGTTGGTGGAGTTGGTATTTGAATTCGAATCCTCCTGACTCCACAGTTTGTGTTCTTATAGCGCTATTCTACACAGCGGCATTAGGTTCATAGACCTCACCACCTTCTTGGTATCTGTCCTTTCCTCCACCAGCCAGTTTAATAATTTTTATCTCCTCTATCTCTCTTAGTGCCTTTTCAGTGCTTCTCATCAATATCCTTTTTTTTTTTTTTTTTTAAAGATTTTATTCATTTATTCGACAGAGAGAGACACAGCAAGAGAGGGGACACAAACAGGGGGAGTGGGAGAGGGAGAAGCAGGCTTCCCACAGAGCAGGGAGCCTGATGCGGGACTCGATCCCAGAACCCTGGGATCATGACCTGAACCGAAGGCAGGTGCTTAACGACTGAGCCACCCAGGCGCCCCATCAATATTCTTTTTAATGCAGATACATCATTTCCACCTCTGTTAGGATAGGCTAAATGACTATAGCAGATAGACTTTAAAATGTGGCTCAAATGGAATAGGAATTTCTTGCTCATACACTGGTCTGGGTGAACTGGTTAGGCCAATGGCCAGTTCTTTTCCACCTAGCGGATCTGGGATTGAGATTTCTCCCACACGGTGGCTGCACCATCCCCTAGGGCCTGCTCCTCATCTAAGGATAGCCAGCAGCAGGATAAGAGCACGCAGGAATCCCATCTGGGAGCTTTAATGGGCCAGCCTGGAGTGGTTCATGTGACTTTTACTCTGAGTCACTTATGGGAGAAACCTTTGTCCCTTAACTCAAATCAAAATCAAGGAAGATTGGGAAATATAGTGTAGCTGCTTGTCCAGAAATGGGAAGAACAGATTTTGGTGAATATCCAACAGTGTCTGCCACAATCCCTGAGGGGCCTCTGTCTTTTACGCTGCTGTTTTATATCCGCACAAATGCCCACAAGTGCATTGTGATGGTTTCACTTGTTCCTTGACACCTATATTTTCCATATTTTCATCTTTGTCTCATACATCCATATGAACTCTATTCCCACATACCCCTGGTATTTAGGACATCTCTGTCTAGATGCACTGTTGTCACTTCAAACCCAATACATCTGAAAACAGAGACCGTCTTCTCTCCCAAGCAAATTTCTCATCCTGACTCCTCCTATTCTTTTAGTCTCAAAGAGCAAAAATCATGGTATCAGCAAGAATGTATCATGTTTTTCTACTCTCAGTGCTTCCTCATTTCTCATGCTTCTCTGATATTACCTGCTAGTAGATCCACTTTTCCTCTTCTTTTTTAAAATTATTTTTATTTTTTATTTTTTTAAAAGATTTTATTTATTTATTTGACACAGAGAAAGAGAGAGAGCACAAGTAGGGGAAGCGGCAGGCAGATGGAGAGGGAGAAGCAGGCTTCCCGCTGAGCAGGGAGCCCGATGCGGGGCTCGATCCCAGGACCCTGGGATCATGACCAGAGCTGAAGGCAGACACTTAACCAACTGAGCCACCCAGGCACCCCTGTTTTTAAAGATTGTATTTATTTATTTATTTGTCAGAGAGAGATGGGGAGAAAGAGCACAAGCAGGCAGAGGGAGAAGCAGGCTCCCAGCTGAGCAAGGATTCTGATGCAGGACTTAATCCTAGGACCCTGGGATCATGACCTGAGCCGAAAGCAAATGCTTAACCGACTGAGCCACCCAGGTGCCCCTTCTTCTCCTCTTCATCTTTGTTGATGCAGTGCCAAGCCAAGTTCCCATCATTTCATGTCTGTTACTATGATTTTTAGTTGTATTTTTGATGTTTTATTATTTTTCTGAATCATTTTGAATGTTACTGTCAGATTTGACCTCTTGAAATATGACATTTTTCTTGTTCTTACCCTGAAAAGTTAAGTGACTCCTTATTCCCTGTAGAGATTCTTCCTCTACGGGCACCCACATCTACTGAGAGCACACATATCCAGAACCCAGTAATTCCTCTTTAGTAAATCCTATGAAATATTGACAGGAGTGTAAACAAATGTTTGCATAATGATAACATGAAAAACTGGAGACAACCTAAATATTTTTCAGTAAAGTCAAATTATGATATGCCCACCAGTGGAATGCAGTGGGATGCATTGCACTTGTTAAAAAGAATGAGATAAATCTAAATGTACAGACAGAAGGGGGCCCATAAGATATAGTTGAATAAAAAACAAAACAGAGGGAGCCTGGGTGGCTCAGTCATTAAGCGTCTGCCTTCAGCTCAGGTCATGATCCGAGGCTCCTGGGATCGAGCCCCGCATTGGGCTCCCCGCTCAGCGGGAAGCCTGCTCCTACCTCTCCCACTCCCCCTGCTTGTGTTTCCTCTCTCGCTGTGTCTCTGTCTGTCAAATAAATAAAATCTTTAAAAATTAAATAAATAAATAAATAAATAAATAAATAAAAAACAAAACAGATGCAGAACTATATATATCCCTTTTTTGTGCAAATGTATATTTGTGACCATACATACATAAATGTACACATTCACATATACATACTGTTGGGAATATCTAAATGGATGTATTCCAAAATCCTAAGAGACTAAGGGAATGGAGATGAGATTGAGAGAGGCTATTCTCCTATATTATTTAATGTTTTATTTCAATGTGTAGAAAGTATGAGATAAATACTTGAAAAAAACTTTTTTTTTTTTTAAAGATTTTATTTATTTATTTGAGAGAGAGAATGAGAGAGAGAGCATGAGAGGGGGGAGGGTCAGAGGGAGAAGCAGACTCCCAGCTGAGCAGGGAGCCCGATGTGGGACTTGATCCCAGGACTCCAGGATCATGACCTGAGCCGAAGGCAGTCGCTTAACCAACTGAGCCACCCAGGCGCCCCGAAAAAAACTTATTTTAATAGAGAAAATTTTGTCATAGAAATATGGACTTGAGATGATATGGCACTATAATCCTGTGTTCCTTAATCTTATCTCTTGATATTTACCCTTACAACAATGCTCTCTTCTTAGTGCACTTCCTTCTGGAAATCACATGGATGAACTCCTCCCAATTCCTGGAAGTCCCCTTCCATACTCTAAAAGCTTCTTTCTTTTGACCATTTCTTCATTTCCTTTTATATTAGCTTTAAAGGGGGCAGAACTACATTTGAAGATAGTCCAAGGTTGCTATGCTTAGTACATGTTCATTTTCCCCCTCTATGGCCATTTATTTTTTAAAGTGCACTGAAGGGGCGTCTGGGTGGCTCAGTCGTTAAGCATCTGCCTTCAGCTCAGGTCATGATCCCAGGGTCCTGGGATCGAGCCCCACATCAGGCTCCCTGCTCAGTGGGGAGTCTGCTTCTCCCTCTCCCACCCCCACACTTGTGTTCCTGCTCTCGCTATCTCTCTCTCTGTCAAATAAATAAATAAAATCTTTAAAAAAAAAAAATAAAGTGCATTGAATGTGGGTCATTTGTATTTTGGGATTTCTTTCAGACTTGGAGAATAAAACAGAAACCAGGGAGTCAACCTTAAAGAATGATATTTCAGGGGAAGAATTACACCATGGCCTAATGAAGGAACAGTCCACGAGAGGAAACACTGTATATTCCACGTTGGGAAGAGTCTCCAAATGTGATAAGTTAGAAAGCCACCAGGAAAACCAAGGAATGGGTGAAGGGCAAATCCCCTTGACCCATAAGAAAACACTCACCCAGGAGAGAGGCCGAGAATCTAACAGATTTGAGAAAAGTATTAATGTGAGCTCAAAAGTTATTCCTGGACCAGAAGGTCCTCCAAGAAAAAAAGACCATAAATATGATATATCTAGAAAGAGAAGTAGATACAATTTAGATTTGATCAATCATTCAAGGAGTTATACAAGAATGAAAACTTTTGAATGTAATATTTGTGAAAAAATCTTCAAACAGCTCATTCATCTTACAGAACACATGAGAATTCATACTGGAGAGAAACCTTTCCGATGTAAAGAATGTGGAAAAGCCTTTAGCCAAAGTTCATCCCTTATTCCACATCAGAGAATCCATACTGGTGAGAAACCCTATGAATGTAAGGAATGTGGGAAAACCTTCAGACATCCATCATCTCTTACTCAACATGTTAGAATCCATACTGGGGAGAAGCCCTATGAATGTGGCATATGTGAGAAAGCATTCAGCCAGAGCATTGGGCTGATCCAGCATCTGAGAACTCATGTTAGAGATAAACCTTTCACCTGCAAAGACTGTGGCAAAGCATTTTTCCAGATTAGACACCTTAGGCAACATGAGATTATTCATACGGGTGTGAAACCCTACATTTGTAATGTATGCAGTAAAACCTTCAGCCATAGCACGTACCTAACTCAACACCAGAGAACTCATACTGGGGAAAGACCATATAAATGTAAGGAATGTGGGAAAGCCTTTAGCCAGAGAATTCATCTTTCTATTCATCAGAGAGTCCACACGGGAGTGAAACCTTATGAATGCAGTCATTGTGGGAAAGCCTTTAGGCATGATTCATCCTTTGCTAAACATCAGAGAATTCATACTGGAGAAAAACCTTACGATTGTAATGAATGTGGAAAAGCCTTCAGCTGTAGTTCATCACTTATTAGACATTGCAAAACACACTTAAGAAATACCTTCAGCAATGATATGTGACATATATTCAACATCAAAGAATCCTCATGATGGAACAAAAGCCTCTAAATCAGAGGTCTTCTGACTTTTGGATTTCAAGAAGCAATGAATTTTTTTAACAACTTGATCCAATGTTACAACTATCAGTTTTGCCATATTAAAGAAACTACCTTTTACCAAAATTGATTCAGAAAAGAAAGGGCATTTTAATATTTTTAAATATAGGAAGGAAGTAATCATTAGGAATAACACTTAACATTGAATTAAGTTAGCTTTATGAAAATCTCCAAAATTTGTCTTTATTTTTCTCATTTCATTATGGGCCAGTGAAAAGTTCATCGTGGAAAGTTACTGATACTTGGATTGGCTTTTGAGAATCACTGTTTTAAATATCCCTTAAATCAGAATAAAATAAAAAAATTTTTTAAAAATTTAAAAAAATTAAAAAAATTTAAAAATTTAAAAATTAAAAATAAATAAAAAATTTTTTAAAAATTTAAAAAATCAGAATAAAATATAAAGTATAATTTTTTACTATAGACCTTTATATGGCTAGAAGAGGTATAAAAAAATATTGGTTGGCTCATTTCTAGAAGAAATAACGTTGAAGCTTTCTAGAATTGATAGATAACCTACTACACATGAAATAACTTAAGTATATTTTATGGTTTCTTGTAGAGAATTGGCAAACTTTTCATAAAGGGCCAGATGGTAAGCATGTTAGGTATTGTGGGTCATATGAGCTCTGTCAGACCACTCAACTCTACAATGTTAGTGCAAAAACATCCAGAGAAACCTATAAACCAGGGTATCTCAGCCTTGGCACTGCTGATATTTTGGGCCAGCTGTTTTAGGCAGCTGTCCTGTGCACAACAGTGGGTTTAGCAGTATCTCTGGCCACAAGTTGCCAGTAACAGATGCCAATAGTTCCCTTCCCACCCAGTAACAACCAAAAATGTCTCCAGATGTCGCTAGATGTGCCCTGGGGGTCAAGACTGTACTCATGAAGTACTTGAAAACCACTGACCTAAATGAATGGGTGTAGCTCTGTTCCAATAAACAATAAACTTCATGCAAAAAATTGGTGTTTGGTTGCATTTAGCCTGAGAGCTGCAGTTTACCATTCCTGCTGTACAGTACATAAATAACTGTCCCCCTCTTGCCCCCGAGCAAGCACAGCAAGAATAGTAATTGGTCATATAGGGTTTTTTTTTTTTTAAATCTGCTTTGCTGGAACTTTTTTTTAAAAAGATTTTATTTATTTATTTGACAGAGACACAGCAAGAGAGGGAACACAAGCAGGGGGAGTGGGAGAGGGAGAAGCAGGCTTCCCGTGGAGCAGGGAGCCCTATGTGGGGCTCAATCCCAGGAGCCTGGGATCATGACCGGAGCCAAAGGCAGACGCTTAATGACTGAGCCATGCAGGCACCCCTGCTTTGCTGGAACTTTTGATGTGTCCTGCTATAATGTCATATTAAAACCTTAGAAATTTGGGCGCCTGGGTGGCTCAGATGGTTAAGTGTCTGCCTTTGGCTCAGGTCATGATCCCAGGGTCCTGGGATCGAGTCCCGCATCGGGCTCCCGGCTCAGCAGGGAGCCTGCTTCTCCCTCTGACCCTCTCCCCTCTCATGCTGTTTCTCTCTCGCTCGCTCTCTAAAAAATAAATAAAATCTTAAAAAAAATTAAAAATAAATAAAATAAAACCTTAGAAATTTTATATAATTTCTGGAAGAGTTCTAGCATTCAACTATAAAATATAACCTGAGGAGGTTTATCATCACTTATTTGACAATGTTTCCCATGTGACTTGACCTACCAAATAAGCCTAATTAGTCAAAAAGACTTCATTTAGAAGTTGAATTTTGGGAAGTTTATCTGAAATATCAGAAGATTTTAAAGTACATGCCTAAGTAAGATTATAGATCATTTAAAAACTTAGTAGGCGCTTGAGTGGCTCAGTTGGTTGAGCGTCGACTTTTGGTTTCAGGTGAGGTCATGACCTCAGGGTCATGAGATGGAGCCCTGTGTCAGGCTCCATGCTCAGTAGGGAGTCTACGTGAGGTTCTCTCTCCCTCTCCCTCTGCCTGCCCCTTCTCTCTCTCTCTCTCTCAAATCTTTAAAAAAATTAAAAATAATTATCTATTAGCCAAGGTGGCAATAAGATTCTAAAGGCAAATGCAGAGGATTACATCATTGTTAATAAAATTTAGCTTAATGTTGAGAAGATTCCATTTTAAAGACAGAACTTAGAAACTTTGTTTTTCTAGGCTGATTAAAGATATAATCTTTGTTTACAACTTAAACTAATAACCTAAGAAAACTACCATTTTAACAGAAGAACCAAATTCCAATCTTATACTGGTGTACTTCCAATATTAAAATTCATTTATTTCGGGGCGCCTGGGTGGCTCAGTCGTTAAGTGTCTGCCTTCGGCTCAGGTCATGATCCCAGGGTCCTGGGATCGAGCCCCGCATCAGGCTCCCTGCTCGGTGCGAGGCCTGCTTCTCCCTCTCCACTCCCCCTGCTTGTGTTCCCTCTCTCGCTGTGTATCTCTCTGTCAAATAAATAAAATCTTTAAAAAAAAAAAACTCATTTATTCCAACAAGATGAATTTTTTTTTAAGATTTTTATTTATTTATTTGAGAAAGAGAGCAGGAGTGGAGGGGCAGAGGGAGAGGGAGAAGCAGGCTCCCACTGAGCAGGGAGCCTCACCCGGTGCCCCATCCCAGGACCCTGAGACCATGACCTGAGCCGAAGGCAGATGCTTAATCGGCTGAGCCACCCAGGTGCCCCAACAAGATGAACTTTTTAAAAAATCATGCAGACCTTCCTTTTTCCTCCCTGTCGTCTCCCATGTTGATATATACTTACTGAGACAAGGACGTGCAGGGTGCTGCATGGATCTGAGTTTTTGTGGTGGGTGCTGTGACGTGCTGACCAGAATCCCCATTAGGAATGAAGGACTCTGTGCTGCAGGGAATGTAGCCAATAGTCCTCAACTCACACACCATCAGAGGCTGCCTTAACTGAAGACAGCTGCCTTGTCAAAGGGCATACCCTCTGCCCAGGTTGTTACATCCAATGACTATTATAAAAGTCCAGCCCTTTTGCCCCAATTTAGGATGGTTCTGAAGGGTAATCCAACTTTTAGAACTCCTCAGAGTCAATGAAGGCTTCTGTTGATATTGTATGACTGCTCAACTTTTGCCTCATCTTGCTCTCCTACTCTCCCTTCTCTTCTCCACGTGTTGATCACTCCCTAATAAACTTTTTTTTACATATTAATCACCACAATCTTAGTCCTGACCCCCTGCAAAATTCCTTTCCAGATTCCCTTCTCACAAACATACAACTTTACTTTTTACATTCAGATTTTGTCCTAAGTTTTCTCTCTTTAACCAGTCTCACTTTCCTTGCATCACATCTGCTTGTTTGTTCTTAGGTCACCCATAAAACTTCATGAGGCATCAAAGTTCTAAGGTTTTTTTTCCCCTTTCCTGACAAATTTTGCAATGGAGATAACATGAACTTATTTGAATTCCAGTAGACATAAGCAGAGTGAAAGTTTTATATATAATGCTGATAATTCTAAAGACATGTCCATTTGATTAAGCCAACAACCTTAAATTAGCTTTAATACTGAATATTTTCCAAGATCATGTGAACTTATAAAACATTTGGGTTAGTTTCTATCTTTGAGTTTTAGAATACCCAACTCCTACAAGCACTTACTTTAAAACAACTAAATAGAGCTCTTTTATAAATTAATTTTAGCAATACCACCCTGGGGTAGAGAAAATATCTCACATTTATAATATTCATGGACACAAAAGTACACAAACAAGATGCGAGCAAAATCTTAAAGGCCCAACTTCCAAATGTCTCCTTTTTACAAAACAAATCTAATGGCAAGATGGTATTATAATGTATGGATCCATTCATTGGTCATTTTTCTCTGTGTTGTGGCCAAGCAGCATTACAAAAAATGATTGCCCAGTTTTGGAAAATACAGCCCAAAGGGCTGCATGGGGGGATCAAATTGTCATTTCCCATTTTCCAATGAGAACATAGCCAGTTTTATCCAAAGATACCAGAAGATGCAGCAACAAACAAACCAAATGAAGCCCAACCTCTGTGAGCATTGATTCCTCCCCAAAGCCTGGGCTTCCCCAACTCAGCCAAACAACTTCCTCCTCAACTTTTTAGAAAAGGAAGCTAAGAGAACCAAAACCCCCTATTTGGAGGCATCTGAATGGGAAGAAATCTAAGATCTAAATCAAACAGGAGAAAGAAAGAAGCTCACATGCTCTCCATATGAAACTCATCCAGAGATCTCTGTCCAAACCAAACCCAAAACTGTTTCCTTGCCACAAGAGTTAAATTAAGTGGGAGGCACCCAATGGGGGGGAGGGGCTGGGGATGGTCCCCACGACAAAGAGCCTAGGCAGTGGCTAGGACTCACCACCGGACTCCTGTTACAGGCTGAGGCCAACGAACCATGCACAAAGAGCTCCTCCCCAAATTTGTAACCCAACCCAAGTTCATCCACCTAATGGATAGCAAAGACAATCAGGCATTGAGTATGCAGCAAGGAAAGGGGTTATTCTAGAGGCAGCAAAATGAGGAGATGGGAGGGCAGATCTTAAATCTGCCTCTCCCAGGAGAGTCTGGGAAATTTAAAGGCAAACAAAAAGGGTAAAAATTTGCAGTCGCACTTATTAGTCTGCAGCTACAATTAGTCCCATTAACGCTTTGGTTACAGGTTTCACTAATTTTCTCAGAATATTGAAAATGTAATACTTGTGGGTGGTGTTTGGAGGTTGTGGGGGGGAGCACCAACCTGGACAATTCAGTACAGCAGTATTACCTTAGAGCTAAAATAATGTTTCACCCTCCTTCATTACAGGGATAACATAGAGGATTATTTTTGTTATTTTGAGTCTTCTTTGTGTGTGCTTTTACATAATTAGGATCATGGCTTAGCTGCTTTTGGAACTGCAATTTTTTTTTCACTGAATATTAGGTTGTGCTCAGATCCTAAGCCTTCATAGCAGAGTGATAAAGAGTTTGCATTCAGGAATCATAAAAATATGTATTCAAATTCCAACTCTACCACCCCTAGCTTTGTGATCTTAGTCAAACTTAATCTTACTTTTTCATCTGTCAAGAGGCACTTTTAATAGACGCTACACAACAGGTTTATTATGCCAGGTACACATAACCACTCAAACCCAGAAACTATTAATATTGCATTTTATGGCTTTTCTGCTTGTGATAAAAAAAGTAAATGCTCATTTATGAAATCACAGAGATGTATAAAGAATACAAACATGACAGAACCCAGATATACCAATGTTAAAATGTTGATTTAAAAAGACATTGTGGGGGCGCCTGGGTGGCTCAGTCGGTTGAGCGACTGCCTTCGGCTCAGGTCATGATCCCAGGGTCCTGGGATCGAGTCCCACATCGGGCTCCCTGCTCTGCGGGGAGCCTGCTTCTCCCTCTCCCACTCTCCCTGCTTATGTTCCTCTCTCGCTGTGTCTCTCTCTGTCAAATAAATAAATAAAATCTTATAAAAAAAAAAAGACATTGTGGGGCGCCTGGGTGGCTCAGATGGTTAAGCATCTGACTCTTGTTTTTCGCTCAGGTCATGATCTCGGGGTCGTGGGATTGAGCCCTGCATTGGGCTCCATGCTCAGCAGGGAGTCTGCCTGTGATTTTTTTCTCCCTCTCTCTTCCCCTCTGCTCCTCCCCCCTCCACTCACCACACTCTCTCTCTTTCTCTAAAATAAAAAATCTTTTAAAAAGACAACATCATATGATTCCATTTATATAAAGTATCAAAAGTAGTCAAATTCATAGAAACAGTAGAATGGCCATTCCCAGGGACTAGAGGGAGGGTGACAGGCGGAGTTCTTGTTTAATGGATATAGAGTTTCAGATTTTCAAAAATCTGAAAAAGTTCTGGAGGTCTGTTTCACCATGTGAATATAGTTAATGCTATGGAACTGTACACTTAAAAGTGGTTAAGATGGTAAATTTTATGTTATGTGTTTTACCACACACACACACACAAAATTTTTGGATGTAATTTCTTTCCAGTGGACACACTCTAGTACCCAGTTTGAAAAATTCTTCCAACCCACTTGTACCAATGACATATCACTTCTTCACTGGCTGTTACCAGTCATGTCCGCCCTTCTCTCCCTACCCAGCTTTTAGTTATGCAGCTGCAAACATCCTCCACTCCATATACATATGTAGTTAACACCTTTCCTCAGGGCAAAAAAGCATTTTACAAGTTGGATTACCTCCTGGATCCTGACTTTCTCTTTTTTGCCCTCTCTTAGACACTTTGTTATGGGAAGAATTGTGTCCTCCCCTGTCCTTGCCAAATTCATATGCTGAAACCCTAACCTCTGTACCTTAGAATGTGACTGATTAAATTTATTAATCACTTTAAAGAAGTGATTAAGAGAAAACGAGTCATTAGGGTATGCTCTAATCCGACCTGACCGGTGTCCTTATAAGAAGAGGAAATTTGGACACACAGAGAGACACCAGGGGCCTGCAAGCGCACAGAGGCAAGACCATGTGAGGGCATAGAATGAGGCAGCCATTTGCAGCCAAGCAGTAAGGCCTCAGGAGAAACCAACTCTGCTGACGTAGGCAGGCCTGGTCTGAGGACCCAGAGGGGGTCCCGCAGGACCAGCCAAGAGGGTACTCTGCTTTGCACAGGATAGAAATCAAGCTCAAGCCAGGAGGAAATGAGAGCAGAGTATATTGAATAGTGTAAGTGATAGAGTATATTAGACAGAGTGTCTGGGAGACTCATAAAAGGAGAAGCGAATCTCTATGTTGCTTGGTGTTAGGTGTTTATATTGGAAAGAGGTCCAGGATATGTGTTCCTTTAGGAATCCAGGTCTGATTAAAGGTGTCAGTGAACAATAGCTGTTATTCTATAAATCACTGAAGATAGAGGGTATGGATGCCAGTGTTGGCGGAGGTTTGTTCAAAGCTAATGTCCTGGAGCTCAGGATCCAGTTCTTCTTAGATGTTATCAGGTATGTGGGGGCCGAGGATGAAACTCAGGGAATTATTAACTTCCTTGCTTCCCCTTTGGAGTGGGAACATAGAGCTTCCTTGGTTTACTCAGATGCAAGGTGAAAGATAGAACACGAGTAAATGGGGCCTAGCAAGGAAACAGCAGAGATGGAGACTTTCTAAAACGGAGTCCCTTCAGTTTCCCTATCTCTGCTGACACCTGGATCCTGGACTTCTAGGCTTCAGAACTGTGAGAAAATAAATGTCTGTTGTTTAAAGCTACCCGGTCTGTGGTATTTTGTTGTGGCAGTCCTAGCAAACTAATGCACTCCTTTAAGAACATTAAAAAGATATATTCCAGACTCCCCCCCCCCTTTTTTTTTCTGAGAGGGGGAGAGAGAGACAATGAGAGAGAGAGAGAGTCTCAAGCAGA